CCCTGGCACGGCCCTGGCACGGCCCGCCCCGCTGCGGGATCCCGGGACACCGGTGACATTCCCACATGCCGGGATGTTGGGACCCGCCAGGGAAGGCACCGGGGCCAGGGGGGCCTGTGGTCCGCGATGTGCGCAAGGAAACGCCTGGCGTTTCTGCAGAAATCCTCACATGCCAGCCTTGAGCCCGCTCCTGTTCCCGCCGCGGAATCCCCCCGCGCTGCTGTAACACCGGCTCTTTCTCCTTGAACCAAAGCCCCAAATCGGGGACGTGTGTCTTTCCCCGCTTAAAACCCATCTGCCACCTTCCTGCCTTTTCCCGCAGAGGGTCTGCACCCGCTCCTCCTCCCCGGATACTCAGCCGTGTGGACCCCCGAGCCTGCGGCATAAACTGTGGTATTTATGCCAGGCCAGCCGGGCTCCGAGCCCTCAGGCCACCCTGTGCATCTGTCACCCGCCCCTAATCCTGCCCAAGCCTCCCAGCCCGGCTCCAGGCAGCCACAGCTCCGGCATCTGCCTCTCGGCACAGGCATGCCCCGCACCCTCACGGCAGAGACCAGCAGAGATGGGGCCAAAATCACCCGCTGCCTTTCAGCCCTCTTGCGGGAACACACGCTGCACATCAGCCTGGACATGGTGGTGTGTGGATCACGGCACAGGTGAGGGCCCCAGACCGAGGTCAGCCCAGCTGGGTGGCTCTGCCTGAATGAACTCCCCACCTTTCTCCCGTTGTCTGACCCCCTTTTTTAGCCTTGTCTTTGTTGCCCATGCTGTGCACAAGACAAGGAGGGGGCTGCAAACCACAAAACACAGCAGGTTTGTTTCAAGCCATGAGGAAAATTAGAGGCTTGGATTTCACTATTGCTGAACTCATGGAGTCACTTTCAGTCATGGAATCATCTCAGAAACATGGACTGGTTTGGGTGGGACCTTAATGATCATCTCATTCCAGCCTCCCAGGCATGGGCATGGAGACCTTCCTCTAGACCAGGTTGCGATCCCCTTCAAATCCCTTTGATGGTCTGTGACCAAGAAAGGACTGTGGCAGGTCTTCATCAGCCTCCATTTCCTGTTTTCCATCTAAAAATCATCAGAGTTCCCCATAGATTGGTGTCATGTCTCAACAAAGAGGCAGCATCAGCTTCCTGATGAAGGTCAATTTGCAGTTCAGCCGTCTCTGGTTCACAGCACAAACTCCAAGCTGTTCAAGGGAAAGATGCTATTTACATACTTTTCCATGGATGACACCTGTGCTGATTTGAGGAAAGGAAGAAAAAATGTGGATTTAATACTCTAGAATAATGGAATGGTTTGGGTTTCCCTTTAGGAAGGGACTTTAAAGATCATCTCATTCCACCCCCTTTCCACTAGCACAGGTTGCTCAGAGCCCCATCCAACCTGGCCTGGAACACTTTGAGGGCTGGAGCAGCCACAGCTTCTCTGGGCAACCTGTGCTAGGGCCTCACCACCCTCACAGGGAAGAATTTCTTCCCAGTATCCAGTCTAAACCTCCTCTCTGTCAGTGTGAAGCCATTTTCCCTTGTCCTGTCACTCCAGGCCCTTGTCAAGAGTCTCTCACCATCTTTCCTGTGGGTTCCCTTCAGGCACTGCAAGGCCACAATGAGTTCACCCCAAAGCCTTCCCTTCTCCAGCCTGAACAATCCCAATTGTTCCTTCAGCCTTTCCTCCCAGCAGAGCTGCTCCATCCCTCTGATGCCCTTGGTGTCCCTCCTCTGGAGTGGCTCCCAGAGCTGGAGGTGGCTCTGCAGGTGGGGCTGAGAAGAGAAGAGCAGGGGGAACAACACATATCTTAATATATAATAAGATACAATAATATATTAATAAACTGTTCCTAAGGTATCCTTCACTTTTTATATTTTTATATAACATTAAATATTAATGTACCTGTGTTTTTTGCAAATCATTCCAGCTGCACTACTGCTTTTTGATACTAACATTGAATGAATTTTATTTTTTTTTATAGTCATCAGAATGTGCCCAGCTGAGAGGAGATGATGCAGCCAGGCTGCATCCCTGATCCAGAGCAAACCCAAGGTCAGAGCCAGAAAGGTGCTGCAGGTCTGGAGCCAGAAAGCTGGCTGGGGTTTCCACACAGCACAGACTGTGCATCTGGGAGCAAACCAAGCCATAAACCCAGAGAGGTCCCATATGGCTGGATCCCCATGGGCAGTGCTCAACTGAGGCCAGGTTTGAAAATCAACCCTAAAAACAAGCACATCGTCACCACTCACACCTTGGGATGGTGTAAAAACCACAATAAGGGGGATTGAGCCTTAGGGGTTGAGGGTTGATTATTTAAAGAATGTAACGAAGTGGAAGTGTCTCTACATTCCAATATGGAGGTCTAGGATTTCATGGCAAGATATGCATTGTGTTCCCTTCCTTCATACAAGCACTGTCAGGCAATCAGTATTGTCTGACAGGGATAAATAAAATAACCCCAGATTAGTTTACTGTTTGTGCCTTGGCACAATAAACCATACATTTGTAGTAAATTAAATTGTTTTGATAGGTTCAGGAAGAATATTTTTAAAAAGTGTTTAAACATATCAAGGCAAAGCAAAACTCTTCTTAGCATTCTCATTCCCAGTTTACAGATACTTGGGTTCTCCTCATTCCTCTCTGTTTTGTTTTGTTTTTTTAATTTAATTCAAGCAGCATGTATCACCCTATTTTAAAAACACCCCATTTAAAAAAATGAAGCAATATTTGTATCAGTTTAACCTACTTCTGAGATATTTTGATAGAGGCTCTAGGCTTAATGCAGACTACTGCAGAAGGATTTTTTGTTTGCACAGAAAGAAATCTGCTTATGGCAGGTTAAAACAAAGGAGATAGGTCAGACTAGTCTGACCAACTGCCCCTTTAATCAAATATAAGCTCAGTTTAGGGGATTTTTTAAAATGAATTTATCCTTATCCCTAAGACAACTTGGCCCAAGAAATAGGAGGCAATATCCTTTCTGCAACAATCCTTACCATTAACTGCAATTTTAAATAACAACCTGAGTTATTAATATTACTGCCCATGTTAAACTCTTTCAACAGTTTTCTACCTCCTATTAAAAAAAACAAAACAAAATGTGTTCTCTTCTGTTTCTTTCCAACACCATTGAGGCCTTCTAGTTTTGTATCTTGTTTTGTTCTCCAAGCTGTAGTTTCTTGCAAATAGCATTCTCCAATTTCTGCTCTGACAACCATTCCTGCATTTTTCCATGCACCCATTTCCACTGAGGAAACATGGATCACAGAATTTTTCAACAATTGGCAGCTGAAGGAGACAGGAACAGGAGAGTGGCTAAAACTGGATAGTGAAGAAGATTATTGCAGATAAAATGATGGAAAAACAGGAAAGAATTTGGCTGAACTGCATGTGTGTGGTCAACGCTTGGACTCCATGACATGTGTCTTTTCCGACCTTAATGATTCTCTGAAAGACTGAAAAACAAGATCAAGAGGTAAAGAACAACACGGAGGAAGAGGAAGATGGGCATTTTTAGCCTTTCACAGAATCACAGAAGTTTATTCCTAGTCAGAACTCAAGCTCTTAGTTAAAAGCTCTTCCATCTGCCTGTAGCCAAGCTGTAAGTGAGGACATCCAAAAGAAAAGATAGGGATTGTTTCTGGAAGAGGAAAAGAGCAGTTGCTTGTTGGGTACCAAGAAAAATCATGGCACACCATTCAATCCCGCAGTTAAAATAGACACATCACACCAAATCTGGAAGAGCTGTTTGATTTTGAGTATTTTGAATGGAAAAAAAGGAAAGGAGACCTATGTGAGCACTCATCTCTGTTCCAGTATTGTCTGGGTTTGTGTGCTAGTGCTGGATCCTGCTAAAACTTACCTGAAGGCGGAGTGCTCAGGTACACTTTGAATCCCTGAGACCAGCCAAGCTCCAAGCTCTCAGGGACTCAGCACTCACAGCCACACTCACCTAGACAGTTTTTGAGTGAGAGTTAGAATTGTATATTAAATATGCAGAAAACCATCAGTGCAGAGTTATCATAGTAAAGGCTGGTGGAGAAAAACAATAGCAACCTCCAGAAATGTGGGCCTGCCCCTAAACCTACCACTTCCCCTGGGGAAAAATAAAAAGCTTGAAGAAAACTTCCCATAAAGTTTATCATGCCACTTAATGAAGGTGCAGGCCCCTACCTTACACTGACAGTGGCTTTCCTCATTGTCCTCTTACAACTATTTTATGTTTAGCTATACTCACATTCTAATTTGCTGCTAAAAATAATCGTGATTAGGTAAATAAATAGATTTATCTGTCATGTTAGTTTCACTGATGTCATGATCAAACTGACTGATAGTGGGTTTAGGTTGGATATCAGGAATAAATTCTTCCCTGTGAGGGTGCTGAGGCCCTGGCACAGGTTGCCCAGAGAAGCTGTGGCTGCCCCATCCCTGGAATTGTCCAAGGCCAGGTTGGACGGGGCTCTGAACAACCTGGGATAGTGGAAGGTGTCCCTGCACATGGCAGGGAGGTGGAACTGGGTGATTTTTAAGGTTCTTTTCAACCCCAGACATTCTGTGATTCATTAAATCTCTTTCGCATGGTTTTTCTTCCCCAGAAGGACACAATTCCTGATGATCTCCATATACATCCACAGGATCAGGACAAAAAATGACAAAACCTTCACCTGAAGTCACAAGATTGAGCAAATCTGACTTTATTGCTCTGGAAACTGCACATGCTGGCTCAAGCTCAAGATATGCATGTGCATTATTTATCTTGGTTGAGATTCAGCTCCTGCCCAGAATAAAAATACTAAAAAATTGGCCAAACATGGATGTAAGCTTATCAGCTTTGATACTGGGCGCTGGATTTTCCTAGAAATTAATCCTCCATTAAAGCAACAGATGGCCCTGTGTTGTTCCAAGGGCTCAGGGCACACATGAGGGGCTGGGTGAATGATGGACTTATGAATGACTGGGTCTGCATAAACCTTAAGTTGGATTAGTATAAGCTCATGCATGTCAGAAATGGTTTGCAGTATTGACATTTCATGTCAGCTTTGTGAATCCAGACTCATTTCAGCCCCACACAAGGCTGTGTCACGTGGAAGGGACAGCATAGGAATGTGTAGGAATAAACACATTCTGGCAGCTTTACTGACTGCTTGGATGCTCTCAGCCAGCAACAAATGAAGTTCCTGCTGATTCATCCTTTAAATCAGTGACAGCTTCTTAATTAACAGGACCACAGCCAAGCTGCTTAGGACTAGCACTGACCCTTCTTAAGGAAAGGAAAGTTGTGCAGCACATTTTGAAGGGCACCTCCCAGCAATGGCTCAGATTTTGGATGAGCCAGGTGAGGAATGGTATTAGAGAGAAGCACACAGTTGTTCCTGCACTTACAAGACCATTGAGCATAGGGGCTCACAGCCCTCTCCTACCTGACTCCATGAGGCACACAGATATTCCTTGGATAATGCCATGACCTTCCATGGACTTCCACAACCAAAGTTTTGGCTGTTACCCAAATGCTTTCACAGTCCAAAGAGCATTTACAGGAATTATAAAGGGTCGGTAACATGCTCTTCAGCGACCAAGACAGCCTCTGCTATAGACAATTGAACCCCCCTCCCTTACATATCTTTAAAGAGTTTTCTCCTAAATGGTTCTTAAATGACAGATTCAAAACCTGACAGATGCATTAAATCCATGATTAAGGTACAAGCTATCTAGGCTCCAAAGACTCCTCACTGAGGGGCTGAAAAGCCATCCAGTCTTGGGGAAGAATCACAGGAAGGATGTGGAGCTGTTGCGGCCAGGCCACAGCAGGGACACCAAGGGCATCAGAGGGATGGAGCAGCTCTGCTGGGAGGAAAGGCTGAGGGAACAATTGGGATTGTTCAGCCTGGGGAAGAGAAGGCTTTGGGATGACCTCAGTGTGGCCTTGCAGTGCCTGAAGGGAACCCACAGGAAAGATGGAGAGAGACTCTTGACAAGGGCCTGGAGTGACAGGACAAGAGGCAATGGCTTCCCACAGGCACAGAGCAGGGTTAGATTGGATATGAGGAAGAAATTGTTACCTGTGAGGGTGGTGAGGCCCTGGCTTAGGTTGCCCAGAGAAGCTGTGTCTGCCCCATTCCTGGAACTGTTCCAGGCCAGGTTGGATGGGGCTCTGAGCAACCTGTGGTAGTGGAAGGTGTCCCTGCTTATGGCAGGGAGGCATTGGAATGAGAAGATGACCTTTAAGGTTCCTTTCCAACCCAGGCCATTCTGTGATTCTATACCTCACCTCTTCACACAGGTCTGAAAAGCCCCTGTGTTGATGTGAAAGGTGTATGCACACCAATAAAGTGCATAAAAATTCCCCACCACTTTCAAAAGTCCTTCCAGTCCATTCCAGAGGCAGCTGTTCCAGGACGGATGGGGTCAGTAAACACAGGGAAGAGGCCAGAGTGCAACAATGATGTTCGCCAGCAACGTGATTCTGCATTCAGCCAAACACTTGTCAAGATCAGTAAAGGGGGCAGAAGGAGACCTTGTCTTGTTAAATTTACAACTGTGGGTAGAATGAAAACAATTTGCTTCCAGATATTTTGATTCAATCTTTCTAAAAAGCCTCATGTTTAAATACTCGTGCTTAGTATGGATTTGAGAGAAGCTCTGATAATGGTAATAATAAAAAGAAACTGTAATAATTTTTAATGCACAAATGTTTGTCTGTTCCTGTACTTCATGCAGTACAGGATGCATGTACTGCATCCTGTAAAGCACAGAGTTAACTTCAGCTTTTACTTCCACAAGCACAAATATCCCCTGCCTTACTTACTACCTTCTTGTTCTCCCTGTGCTTATAGGGCAAACGGGGAGGTGAGGGAGAAGAGCACCTTTTCCTGCTACATTTTTTTGCCATAGAACACAGAATCACATTTTCTTCCACAGCTGGAAAAGCGAAAAACTTACCTGTGCCATCTGCAACTCCCACAACTCCACATCATATTCCTTCCCAAGAACAGAAGCTGGATTTGTTCCTTTTCCCCTTAACTCTATAAAACCCTATAAAACACTGGCCTCAGGTGCACACAGAGCATTCCAGCACTGCCAGCCTCACTCAGAGATTCTTGGCACCATGTGGGGCTACACAAGCTCCTGCTGTGGGTAACTTGCAGTGGGCTTTTCATCTCCCTGAAATTGGGAGGGAAAGAACACAGAGAAAAGGGGTTTTTGCCATTGAAAAGGAGGGAAAGGATAAGCTGCCAGTTTATTTGAGACAAAGGAAACAGGCAAATTGATCCCATCTAAACTATCATAGAAGACTAATGGTGAAGGACATATGAGCACCATCAGAAGGCTAAAGCTAGTCATGCTGAGGCCTGGAAAAAACCTGGAAATCTAAGCAAAAGCTAATTCCTTTGATGAACTGGCAGCAGAGTTTATTTTCACTGCAAAGAAACTTGCCAGTGGCTGAACATAGACTGTCCCTCTGGCCAAAGGCAACATCATTTGGCATGAAAATAAGTTGTAGTTACCAAAGCAACAAAGGATCTCCAGAGCTGAACTCAGGCATCACACCAGTCCTATTGCTACAGGAACAGGGGACTGGAGGGGCTTGTCCATGCTATGTGACAGCTCACCCCTGACTTGTACAGGCCAAGACTCTGATTCCCTCATCCTGGATATCATCTTAGATTAACTTTTGTGCTCTTTGTAGCTGAATATTTTAGGACACAGATAGTTGCTACAGGCCCTGCTAGTTGGATAACAAAACATACATATATCTTTTTGAGTAAATGAAAGAGGAGGTTGAGGAGGATTTTAATCAGCCCACAGAGATAAAAAAAAAATACAACTTTTTAAAAGAATTGGTTATAGAGGCACTTTGGTCTTTATTAATGTAAATCTCATGTACTTCAGATATTCAGGATAACAAAACCTCTCTGGAATGTTCAGCAGTGACTTTCTGCTGTTGTATTTAACCCCCTTCACTCAAGTAATTAGGACAAGAAAATCACATGCAATTTAGGAAGAAGAGCAAAGCAAAGACACTTAATGGTCCACAAACAATCCAGAGGCTGGAAATTATTTGGCTGGAGTATTTGGTGGGTGCATACGTTACACTGGAAGAAAATGAGACCCAGGAAAATTCACTGCCATCAAAAAGGAAGAAATTCAGATAACAAACCTTCAATTATAGATTTCACAGCAAATACCGACTCCTGCCTTTGCTGACTTGTCTGTTAGATTTCCTTCGTGCTCAGCCTTCCAATTTTTTTATTATACCTTTTGTGTATGAGGAAAGCTCCTGGTCATAATGTGTAAATAGCATTCCATGTCTTTCTTGATGTATCTCTTTAAAACTTAGTACCCGCTCTCTCCTTTCTCGATGAAGGACAGACAGCTGGTGTTCCATGACTGCTGCTTGTTATACTAATCTTAATCAGTTCACAGCTCCCCTGCAGCCCTCCTGGCAGCTCATCTCTCCCTGGACATGCAGAGAGCTCTGGGGCAAACAATATTTATTATCATATCAAAGCATGCCTCGCCTCACACGATGGAGCTTGAATGTCTGACGTATCTAGATGCTGTCAGATAAACCAGGAGATCATTTGACACAGCTTTTGTCACTGCCATTAAATCATCTGAAGGGGTTTGGTTTTGAAGAGCTCAGCAATGCAGTTCTGCCATTGTCATCTTCTATATTTGTTTGCACAAAGTGCTCTGCATTG